AAAAGTAAAAGTAAGTAACAATATAATTGGTTTGTAAAAACATTAGGTATTTTGGAAGCAGGAAAGATGAAAAATATACAACGCCTTCGCCGCGAATCGAACTACGGACCTCTGGAATACACGGCCAGTGTGCAGACCACCACACCACGAAAGCATGCCAAGAAGGCGGGAGAAATATCTTAAATAACTTATAGGTTAATTAAAATAAAACTTTAGAAAGCGGGATATTTAAAATTATAGAATATTTAAAATTTAGAATATTTTTCTGAATTGCATAAAAATAATCAACAGCGCTTGTTTTGATCTTATCCAAACCACAGTGTTTTTTTTTTTTTTTTTTTGTTATCTCAGTGAAAATTATTTACATTACGATTGTACGTATCTGCACACGTGTGAATTTTGCCGCCACTGTAGGTTTTTGAAGATAAAAGCTATTATCGATCATGTTGTTCACGTAATCGTAAATGATTATTTATAGCTATTTCATCTAATTATCTAATAGACTGCATTTTTTTTTTCAATTTTTTCAAAGTATCAACTTTGAAAATTATATATTTTCTTAAATAACAAGACGTTATGAGATCCAACTCGATATATAAATTTGATACTCCATTGGTGAATAATTCAATAAATATTCACTTCCATTTAATCATTCATTCATTTATATAAGTAATAATCGTGTGTATGCATAGACTTTTTTTCGTGCAATCTGCAAGTATTTATGGACTTATTATCATTATGAGTTATCACAATTTCATAATGTGATGGTAAATTTTTCCTCTAATCTCTCAAAATTTAATGTGGCTGGAAAAGTAAGTCTGAGTAAAAATTAACAATGCATTTTGTATATTAATAGCCATTATTCATAATAATTTTTGTGAGTATGAATGGAAAATAAGCAATAAATATTATAACGTTTATTAAAAATTAATAATCGGAAAAGGTTTCCAAGGTTTCCTCAAAATAAATGCTGATATATAATATTATTTTTTTTATTCTGAAGGGGATAAGGCCATCAACATTTTGTTAATGCTTTTCAATTTTTCTTATCTAAACCAGTTTTACGAGCATAAGATCCCTAGTTCTGTTGTGTAATTTCTTGAGTTACGAGCTAATTTGACTCTTTTGTTTTGTTTGGTTTTTGTAACTATCGTTATTATAACTATTATTACTTAATCAAGTAGCTGTTTATTGGACTTCAGAAAAATATTCCGAAAAAAAAATCAACCGTCGTGAGCACGAAATTAAATTATCCTTCCAAGGTGTGTAATTACCAGTTTTGAACCGTTATGACCCGAACAATGTTTTCAATCTTTTATTGCTTGAGTGGTTTATAATCAAAACACATTAGGATGAATTCACTCATAAGTTAAATAAGTCCAAACTTAGAAGCTTTAGTAGTTCAATGCTGTTACAAACGAAACGATTTTCCCCGTGAGCCTAAATGTAAAATTAATTAATTCCTTGCTAAAGCACAGATGATTGCTTATTTAAACTTTATAACAATAGTTTGCGCTTAGATTCAATAAATAAATATTTCAATAAATATTATAAATTTTCAATAAATATTAATAGAATATGAATACATAAATTCATCAATAAATACAAAGTAAACTAGATAAATGCAATTTTAAACAAATCAAATAGACAAAAACTTAAATCAAATTTACTTGTACAAAGGAGTTTGAAATGAAAATTAATGAAGAAGATGTTATTCTTCTGATGCGAAATCCCGTTCCATCAAAGCATCAGGCAACTAACTGTCTTTGGGAGGCATCTTCTTTGACCGCTCTTTGCCTCTAAGCTCCACTCAGTTTTGCTTAAGACTGTACCTCTGTTTTGCTCAGAGGTTTCCTAAAACGTTTCTTATATGAGACGTGACTTAATAAAATGTGTTTACACATTTTAGAACGCTTTCGGAGAAGTTTAATTAATGTTTAGATCGTAAAACGTATTTTTTTATGTTCTTTCTGGTGGTCTATTTTCTGGACTATAAGTCTGCATCATGACTGTTAAAATAGAAGGGCTTTTCGTAAAATTTCCGGGGTATTGGTTTCCATTCCTGTTCCACAACTTCCACAATTGATGCGAGTTTGTGCCTAGAAAGAGTTCTTTTTAAGGGACCAAACGCACAATAGTACATAAGACACACACGAAAAGACTAGGAACACATTGAAAAGATATATTAAAGGAATACAGTGAAATGATATATATGCAATGCCTACACAGTCTTCATTTTTCAAGGATGCAGTGGTATTTTTCGAAGTATGACCTGTTAATTTGTCTCGATGAGGTTTCAATCTCTGAAAGTCATTGGCATAAAGAAATGGAATTTCATCTGTAAATACCGGACATAAAACTTTCTCTTGATAGTACATTGAGCTGATTGTATCACTTTTCCCACTCTTTTAATCTTTAATTTTCTTTAATAATTTGTAAGTGAATCCTGCGACAAACCTCTTACTAAAACTCTTACTTTGCATTGACGGAACCCGGTTTACATACTTGTTTCTCTTCGTTTTCGATAATAAATAGACCCTCTGTTATTGCAGTCATTTATTTAGCTTTTCGAAGTTGTAAATCTTGATTTATTATTTTACTTACTGTTGCTACAGATTAAAAACAATTTAAAAACTTTGCAATAGATTTCTTGAGTCGGCGGATTTTCTCTTCTTACCAAGCATTTAACTTTAGAAACCGTAAGTGTGTTTTTAGGGCATACGTTTGGAGGCTTCGCGCCATGTAGAAATAATGATTAACGTTTTTTCTCTTTTCTATAAATAAATGGTGCTTATTTTGCACTTAGAAGTATTAATACCATACGTTTCTCAATTTTCAGCTATGGAACAGAAATATTTTCTTTCGGAAAGTGCAGATGTCGCATGTAAAAATGTCGCATGTAAACAAGCTGTGGACTGATGTGCTTCAGTCCACAGCTTGTTTACATGCAACATTTTAAAAGAAGACTAAATTTAAAAGCAAGATACGATATTTCTCATTTCAAATAATAAATTATTGTCAGAAATGTGTATTCCAAAATATTTTCTTATTTTAATTCTTTATCAAAATCTTTCTAGAAATGCGTAAAACCCTCTGCATCAATTCTTATAATTCTTACGGCTTTATCGCGGTGAAATTTTTATATAAAAACTTTGTGTCTTGGCACAAATTTCGCGGTTCAGAAAACTAGCGTAAGTTTTCTTTCTTCCCTTTCTTCTAAAGACATTTTTTCTACAATTGTCTTTTGTTTCTACTTCTGTAGTTGTAGTTCTTTCATGTTAAGCCCATTTTTATGATCCTCTAGTACCTTCTTTACTATGTCTTCATTGTTAACTTCCTAGCCCATGATTTTTCCTAGAGACACAATATCGTAGATAGCCAAAAAGCGTTCTAAGTGGCAAAGTGCTCAAAGTTGTTAAGCAATGGAAAATTTTAGAGTGATGTCTCTGAGTGTTAATTATGTGACACATATTACCTCAAAACATCTTCGAAAATCATATGTTGGCGATTTGAGTACGTCTAATTAGAAACACTGTTCATCATTCGAGATGTTTTTGTTTGAATAATTTATTCACGAATCAAATGATTCGTAAAGTGACGCGTTCGTAATCCGAGGTTCCACTATACATTATTTATGTTTGTATACAATTCAACCGATGCATTAGTTGGTCCTGAGGGACCACACAAAGTATTCTAGTAGAGAGTCGCATGAATATTGATCAACAAAGCACTTAAAACAGATATAATACACGTTACGTATAATCGTTCATTTGACTCATTTCTCCGTGTGGTTAATGTACCTTCACGAGCTGTCTTCTAATTACACTGCGCCCCACGAAATGAGCAAGCTATTCGCCATTAGCTCATTCAGAACAGTGATAATCACATTCTCTAAATGAACTCGTCCTCTAAGTTTCAGTTTTCTGTACAAATCATTTTTGAAGTTGCTCGACTACACTAATCAAAATAAAATTTAAAAAAAATGGAATCTTTCTTGTGGTAAATGTACCCATAATTTACGGCTTCTTACATATACCATTAACGATCAACGCCTACGATCAAGCTTGGAGTATAGACGCTTCAAGAGATGGCGACACATGTAACCGCCCAGGGTGCTGATTTTTGAAAGGCGGCAGCTAAGTTGTTCTCAAAATCAAAAGATAAATAAATGTACATTTCATTTTCGATTATTAATATGTTTATTTTAGAAGGAGCGCCAAACGTACCGAACGCCTAGGGCGTCGAAAATGCCTGTCTTCAGATATATAAAGTGAAAACAACAGATTTCATCGTTACTAAAATCTCTTGATTCGTGATTTTATTATGTATAATTACAGCGCATGTAGGAAAAGGATAGACATTAAAAATTATGTTTTGCTTTATGGTTCTATTTTACATTTCCAAAGTGTCCTTAATATATGTTTCCGATAAGAACAGTTAACCGCTACTGATATCCTAATAAGCAGAGCTTTAGGTATGCCATTTCTGTTCATATGAACATGATAGAATGAAGATAAAATTATGTCTTAAATATCTTAGGATGAGTACTTTGAAGCAGTTTTTTTGCACGGTAACTAGATAAATACGAAAGAATGGCGCATATATTGAAAGAAGTTTGCAGAAAGATTCCGTCCACCTAGAAAGAAAACAGCAGTTTTTGACAGATGTTAAAAATTTTCTCGGCGGAATAAATTCAACTATTTGAGTGCAGAGAATGAAAATTTGAATTCTAGACATGATTGACATTTTATTTACTTCTCTCGGGTAAAAATCGATCACTTTAAAGCATGTTACAAACGGAAGGGGGAGCGGAAAACTGTCGCTCTAACTTATTCGATTTCAAAAAATTTCTCCACTGCAGCAAGAGAGATCTCATCCAAATTATCTTCTCACCTGGCCGGGAGTGTCGCCACCGGTTGCGCTAGTCACGTGTGTCTGCGTGCTTCACCGTTCCCTCCCCTCTCCCTCTCAACTCCACTCCTCACTCCAACTCCACGAGTGGCCGGATATCTCCTTTTCTCATTTCTCTTCTTCAGTTCACCTCGAGACGCGCTTCGCAGATCGACACACGCCAAGAGAAGGTTTCGGGGTTCTTTTCCAGAGCCGTGTGTTGGGATATAACCGTGAACAATTGAACTGGGAATAACAACAATAGTGTGATGTGTCTTTTCTAATGCAGAGGAGAAGTCTTGGCCTCTCATCGAATACTAGTCACCAACTTGAAGAAGTGAAAGCACCCGAGGTCGATATGAATTTCACGGAACGTTGACCTCCTCTTCCTTTTTTCAGGTAAGAGATCGCCTTGAATTGCCCGGGTCGTGTTCCTCCAAAGCGTGGACCGTTTGCCGGCCAGGGTTCCGTCTCAGACACCCCGGGAATCCTCGAAGCCGGTTCGGCCTAAAAGTAACTGACGGCCGCTTGATGTATGAATTTAGTTGTTCTAATTTGCATCGGGCTGATGCACATTAATTAGGTCACATTAAGAATTGGAACAAACAAGTGGCTTATTTGTTTCTGGGCGTAAAGGTCATTAAACATTCTGAAGTAAGATAATGAAAATAATTGCGATGTCCTATCTCTAGTTACCGTTAGCGAAATACTCATTTATAGCAAAGGAAACTATTGAATTTTTGGCGGAAATTTTAAGATTTAATAGATTTAGCAGATTAAATTTTACAAGCTGTTTTATCAACCGATATAAACAATCTTGCATCAATGTGACAATAACGATTTGCTAATCTATAATTATAATCGATGAATCAATATAAAGAGTTTTCAGCAGCTGAATGCGTTATAAAACATTTTCTTCTTATTTGTAGGTTGTATATCGAATAGTAAACATTCGGTAATGATAATCACTTGAATATTATCTTCCGCATCTTGGGGACAAAGAAAAACTTCAAATATCATTACGATTATTATATTGCGTAATGTTTTACTGATTATACTCATGAATAAATTCTTTACACTTCCATTTTAATTAAACTTTACAATATATTTGAATGTAAATTAAGGAATATTAGTTATTTAATTGAACTATTATTCCTAAATATTCATTAAATTGCTTGAAAAAGCAATCCATTCATTTCTTAATCAGTTGCCTGCCACAGAATTCAAGAGCAGATACACATTAAATATATCTGAGGTGTGAAAAGATTCAAAATATAAAAAATAAGGGAAGTGATAGGAAGTTAGAGTCATTCAGTTACTCTAACTGGAAAATTTCCTTTATTTGTTAGCTGTGTTTAAATATGCTCAATAACATAAGACATTCCGGAACTGATAACGAATAGAACTGATAAGAAAACTAAGCACACGATTTTTTTATCTAAAAGCAGCTGCTGTCCATATTTTCATATTACGGCAACAAAGTATATTTTTCTCCAGTACCAGTTTTTTTTTAAATTTGCGTCTTGTATTACGGAGATATATTACCTGAATTAGATCAGTTTCGTAAAAATATCAAATATTATAAAGAATTATTGCAATTCTTCTCATTCAGATTACAGTTTCTGAACTTATTTATTGTAGAAGAAACCTTTAAAATATTTTCTTTATTCCGGAAACTCCTACACAACAATATTATAAGCATTTATAGAAACATACTAGATCAGAAGTCTAACTGTAAAATTTTAAATGAAAAGAAATAGTTTCTATCTTTTAATGCTGAGAATATTTCTCTATTTTCTTCAATTTTTTATCCAACTCAGGCATTTACATTCTGAAATCATTTCTTTGTGTTATAAATGGTATTATCTCAAATGTATTACAGCAGTGTAAGTAGGAGAGTTTTTAGTTCACTTGACGTGTCTTTTTTCCTAATACCCAAATAAAACTAGAAATCTAAATTCAGTTTTCTAACTTAGAATTATTGAATGTTTAGGAATTTTTGTGAACAGTTACAATTTTGTAACAGAGTCCATTAATATATACTAAAGCCAGATGTGGTGGTCTCTTTATTATGGAGGCACTATGAAGTGGCGGACAGTTAGAACCATGCCTTCTCCGGGACTCGAACCCAGGCCCTTCGGTATAACAGTCAGGGTACCCTAACCACTATACTGTCTGGGGGGCTGTTTAGAAACAATTAACTATAATTAATAACATAATTTACTATAATTTTCCTTCGATTTGAAACTAAACAAACAACTCTTAGTGAATTATACGAGCGGGGAAATTCATTATTAGGTTTACTTTAACATTCTCGGTACCAAAACATTTTTTAATATTATTTATTAATTAAAAATTCTTATTTAATTATTAATTGTTTTTAATATTAATAATGAAATATTAAACATTTTTAATATTATTTATTAATTAATAATTCTTATTTAATTATTAATTGTTTTTAATATTAATAATGAAATATTAAACATTCTTTTCAATATCTCACTTTTCAAGTCAAATCTAAAGTGCGTTTTTATAACTTGCTCAATTCAAAATAATGTTTAAGGTTTTTGGAATTTTTATTAGCAGTATTAATATACAAGTGTAAATTTTGAGAACTAGTTTTTGAAGGAAATGTCTGTTTTCCAGACTTTTAGTATAATTTATTTGCACTGTTTAAGATGCCATCAAATAAAGAAGACTTATTCCTTCTTAGACATTTTCTTAAAAATCTCTCTAATTTTAATTCATTTTTAATTTAACATTTATTACTAAAAAATTTTTTTTAGTATTCCAATTAAACTTCATTTTTGATATTCATATGTAAAATAGACAAAGGATATATAAAAATTCCTTAACGAAGGTGATTCTTCTAAAGAATCAGATAGATACCTTCGCAGAACTTTTGTAATTCCCATTATATAAATTATATTTCAATGAATCTTTTGAAAGTTTAATCCTTGGAGTTAATTTTCCGTGCGGCACTTCGTCAACCCTTTAACTTCTGCCTATTCCTTTAAACAATCAACGGTCGTAAATCATTTATGGAAGCAGGCTTTGCAACAATCAGTAGAGAATGATGCGTTACGCTTGAAAAGTTTTCTTGTCGAAGAGAGGAAACTGTGTGAATGCTTCCATTAGCTTTCGTTACATTGAATAAGTGTTACGTCGCTTTATATAAACTTGTTGACACAGTGACAGAAAAGATTTCATAAAGGAATAACTGAATCAACCTGTTTACAACGGTTAATGAAGCGCTGGTTTATAAAAAGGATTCACATATGTTACTCATTTTCTTTCTGTACTTCCAGATAAAAAAAGAGAAAAGATTTTCTCTTAAATATTCGTTTTAATCATGTGGCTTGTTAATACTATCTGTCTCGATGGATATGTTTTTGTCCGTATCACTTTTCAAATAAATTGCCGTCAAATGTCATCGTTAAATGAATATAAATCCTTTCCGATTTTTTTTAAGTTATTATTATTTTGCTTGTTACTTTTTAATGTGAAGCAATGAGCTTCAGAAAGATATACTGCAAGAGAAGAACTCAAACTATAGTGAATTTCCAATCTCGTTTCACTTTTCTAACAGGCGAAGGTTAATTTTGTTGACAATTACTAAAAAAACTTGCGTTCTTACGTCTACGTTGCGTTATTCAATGCAGAATATCTATAGAAATTTCATATGCGTAATTTCCGCTTAATCTTTCATAACGGCATTTTTAAATCATAAAAGAAGGCCAGTTTCCAAAAAGTTGTTCAAATATTTTAACTTCCTTAAAATACTCCACGAATGAGCCTTGAATATTATACTTGATGGCAGGTGTTCTCAGGGACGTGAATAATACATATACTTATAGAGATTAAATACTGTATTCACAAATCACTACTTTCGCAGGCTTTGAAATCACACGACTAGAAAAAGGCGAGGGGCTACAATATTTACAGCGGTAATCCTAGTGGGCATGGAAATAAATATGTAAAACGAATATACATTATATGGGGAGGAAAAAAATGCTCACTGTTTGAATCACCAGCCAATTGCCTAAAATCGTTATTATAAAACATAACATATATATAATTATACATATATAATGATTTTAATGAAACTAGCACTAGTGAAATTTCAGAGGTTCAGCTAGTAATTAATAACGATAAAACTGAAATCGCCGTTTATCCCTTTCAAACTGCTTAGTTTGTTAATTAATAACACAATAAATTTGAAAGAAAAATGGAATATTATCCTATGCTTCACCGAACTCTCATGTGGAAGATAAAAATATTTTAATTTGGGCAGTGAAAAAGCATTTCTTTTAAATCGCTGTGTTTGTTGATTAAATTCGAAAGAGAAATATATTGCGTTTTGTTGCTGGCAGGCAATATACTTCTTTTATATCGCTGAGTTTTCCGATTAAATTTGAAACTAAATAACTTACGCTTTATGGAGTGACAACAGAAGCTTCTAATCGCTGGAATTTTAAAGCAAAGTTCCTTAAATTCGTACAAAATATGAAATAAATTTTTTAAAAATTCAAAATTCGTACGCATGCTTCAAGATGCACATGTGCGGGTGGTTGGCTATGTGTATTCAAAATTTGGTGGCTTTAGGTTCTGCCGTGTTTGCACGATATGAAGAACAGGCATGTATACGTACAGGTTCTTTATTATTTAATAACAGAGAAGATACAGAACGAGGTTCTTGGTCTTTATTACTGATGATCAGTTACAAGATGTACAATGAGGGCTTTAACGAAAAAGAAAATTTTTGGAGGAGATATTAAGACAATTTGAAGCAATAATCTTGTAAAGTCATCAATGAAAAGTTCGCTGCGAAAAATGGAGTTTCTTACGTACCATGTGAAGCCGAGGCACATTACTTAGCACCTCGTTCTGAAATGCCTATAATATTTTGAGATCAGTGTTTGAAACTAAAGTATTTAAAAGCAATACATGCAGTTCTTAAAAATATTATTTTTGTACTTTTTTTATTTTTTAATCTGATTTAAAAAGAAATGCATTCAATTCATGATATATCTAATTAAAAACATTAAATAGTTCTCTAGAATTACGTTACATATTTTTTCACTTTTTAAATATACGGAAGATGTATAATGTTATCCTGTTAGTCTAAATGCATATTTATCTAATATCTCATAAATTGTTTCACTTTTCCACCTGGACCATGTCTCTCGATAACCTCTGTTGATAAATCACATTAAACTTTCATAGAGCCGTTTTCGGCGATCGTTAAAATCTGAACCCTTTCGCATATTTTATTTTATATTTTTTAAGTTCGCTTTTATAGGAAATTGTGGTTCTCATTTTGACAAAATATCTGAACCGAATTCTCTCATCGTGCAATATGAAAGCAAATAAAATTTGCTCAATTTATTACAATTATT